GTAAGTAAAATTTAAGCCATAAATTATGAATTTTTCCTCCTTCTTAAGCTAACCTACAGGAATCTTAATCTTATATTATGAATCTTACAGGAGTTACAAAACAATATACTTCTTACACTATTTTTAAAAGAGTTATATGGAATAATAATTTTAAAAATTATAACAATAATAACTCGATACAAACACAACTGTACAGTATTTGAAAGAGAGGCCCCTGAGGGTATCCCTATAAGAAGGGCTTCCTAAGTAACTAACTTTACTGTTCAAAATCCATGTACATTTTGACATTTCAAAATCTATTTTCAAAACAGCACTGAGGTAAAAACAAAAATTAAACAAATCAAAGTAGTACAAAGGGGGCAGTAAATGTAATCAACTAATGTTCATCCAAATGAATCATTGTTCCTCAGAAGCACTTGAGTGGCTGGCATTTTTTGCTGGTTACACATTTTTTCTGAAGCACCCACTACACACTGCTTAGATTTGACAAAACAGTAATTACTTGTCTTGATCTGAATTAAATTTTAGCCTTAGCCTTTACATGAAGTGTTATTTTGTGGCTGGCAACTAAAATGTCTCTGGAGACCATTGACCTAATTTGTTTTGAGAATACAATACTGATATCTAAACGGTTGGGAAAAAAATTTGATTGGGGCAGCCATAACTTTGAATTCTACCTTGAAATCTGATTTTCTATGGTTTCATCAACACCTTACTGATAACTGTTTATAAACCACACATTGCGGTTTTGCATGTGTTGCTAGCAGGACACCACTTTTCAAATTAATAGTTTCCAAGAAAAAATCGATAAAATATTGAAATGTGCACAAGTTATTTACACAAAAGTATTTTTGAATGGGCCAAGTTGAAGAACCATTTGTAACATGTCATTACATAAATGACTACAGGAAGGTTTCTTGTGGCAAAACATCCTGGTCCTTGAATTTTAATTGCATAAACATCTCTTAATTTTGGTTGCACATGGAGATCTTTAAAACTAGAATGTGATTGGAGAAAGATAAAAAGAAGAAGAGTCCATGGGTGAAAGTAAAAAAAAGGTTAAGAAATTTGAGATGGATTGGTGAAAGAATCTCACTGAATTGGATAAGGTTTATGGTTTTAGGCAATCTTCACTGCTGAGTCTCCCAAGACTCTGCAGGATGCTTCTGTTTAATTGTATTGGCATAGGTATTTCAAGCTTTTCAGAGTGTTGACATATCTTGACAGGTAATCACCCAAAGATGTAAATTGTTGGGAGAAATTTGGAAGTAAAAAAAACCTCCTCTGTTTTTACGCAAATGTGTCTTCTTTGAACAAATTTGTAAGGTATATAAACTTTACCAATTGCCTTAAAATTTGGTTCAAAGACTCCCAAGATACCAACCCAAAAAAAACTGGAGAAATGTATCTCCACAATGACCTGCAACATTAAGAGTATTGGTAAAATTTTGAACAGCAAATTTGACAGACAAGTTGCAAAGCATCCAATAAGAATATCAAAAAATCCCCACATGGTTTTGAAGACCAACCCATCAGGATGGAAGTTGTCCAGAGGTTTTATATGCAATTAATTCACTTAAAGAAACATTGTCCATTTCTAATTGTCCTGCCTCATTTGGTTTACAATTAGATCAAGCTTATACAAAATAATTTTGGCCAAATAGTGCATTTCATAACCTTTCCATTGATATATAGTTTATGGTGGCTATGCTTTAGATACTTACTTCATAGTTGTTCAAATTGAACACTGAAATGTCATTACAATAAGCTTTAAATTTTTTCACTGCAAAATAAAGTTGAGAAGGTGTGAACTGAGGTGAATAAGATTTTAAATTCCTAATCTTGGTTATTTTGTAATTGTGGGTCTGTTTTGTTGTGAGTGGGTTAATTGCTCCAAAATGAACCCTTTACACCCTAACATCAGTCTCTGTATTCTCCATACTGATCTCTATACATTTCCTAAGGTGCAGATAAAGAGAATTTGTTCAATAATCAAGAGCCTCTTTAGCTGGTCATCATTTCCTTAACCCTTTACACCCTAACATCAGTCTGCAAGTTCTCCATACTGCTCTCTAAACATTTCCTATGGTACCAAGAAGGAGAATTTGTCTAATAATCAAGAGCTTGTTGAGTTTGGGATCATTTCCTTTATTCTCACAACCACAATATTTAATCCAAGGGTGATACTGTTGGGAGAAAGTAGATACTTATCACTCTTAGGGGTTAAAGGGTTGATTCTTGTGACCTTAATGTGTGATTTAGGAGTGATATTATGAGGAGAAATGAGATGCTAGTCACTCATAGGGGCCATATGGTTAAGTTTTATCAAAAAGAGTAATAACTGTTTACAGTTTACTTATTATAATCATAAATAACTTTCAGCAATGTACCAATCATAATATCATTGACACTGTCAGACATGAAAAAATAATTGCAATTCTCTATCAATACCTTAATTAATTGATGTTATTGAATGGAATAAATGTTTTTTATCTTGTTCCAATGATTTAGGGGCAAAAAACAGTGTGATGATTGTTTAAGTGACAGTAAAAAAACTATGGTAATTTAAATGGCTAATCAAATAATCCTGATCAGCATGGTCTGACTAAATTTGTGGCTGTACCCAAGACAGCCTAAGGTCACCAAAAGCTACTTGTAAGACCTGACACATTGGACCTAAGAGCACTTCTTTCAGCATCTTTTGCGTTCGATCATCTTTCAGTTGAAAATTTTAGTCTTAATTTTATCATTGACAAGTACATTAGTTGACTTGTACTCAGGTCACTAAGATCTCTTAAGTTTATTCATAAACCTACGTTTTAACTGGGATTGAAGTTAATATTCTACAAACTGTAACTTTGTCAATTCATGGACCATTACAGGAAATAAAATGAAGTGTTTCTGTTGAGATCCATACCTGCATATACAGTTATTTGATGAAGGCAAAAGAGAAGAAAAATTAGGGGTCTTATTGGATTTCATAGAAGCAAACAGATGGCAATAGTAAAGTCTAAGTCAGGTAGAAGAGTGAAACATACAAATAAGGGGCAATTTGGAAAAAAAGTAAAAGTGGCTTTAATCTTGGTCTTATGCACATTTGGGTGTTAGCTTTTGGTAATAAATATTATCTTAGGGTTCGTTATGACCCTCAATTTATTGCTACAGAAAGACTAAGGAACTTGAGGTTATTTTTGAACTTTTGTGGAAATCCACTCTGAGTGCAAAGACAAGAGAATTAACAAGCCCATGCACCCTTTCTCTCAAAAATAATTTTTAAAGAATAATTGAAAATGGAATGAACTTCCTGCAAGAAGCAAAATTTGAGCCATAAAGTATGAATTTTTCCTACTTCTTGAGCTATAACTTACAGGAATCTTGAACTCTGAATCTTAAAGGAGTTACAAAATGATATACTTCTAACATTATTATTAAAATTGTTATATGGGTGGAATTATAACAGTTATTATTAATAATAATTATAAAAATAATAATGATAATAACTCTTGATTCAAACACAAATATACAGTATTTTAAAAGGGAGACCCCTGAGGTTATCCCTATAAGAAAGGCTTCCTAACTGACCAACTTTACTGTTAAAATTTTATGTATATTTTGACAGTTCAAAATCTATCAACGAAAACAGCTTTGAAGTTAAAACAAAAATCAAACAAAACAAAGTAGGACAAAGGGGACAGTAAATTTAGTAATCAAATAATGTTCATTCAAATGAATCATTCACGGTTCTTCAGAAGCACTTGAGTGGCTGGCATCTTTGCTGGTTACACATTTCTGAAGCACCCACTACACACTGTGCTTAGATCAGACAAAGCATTAATTACTTGTCTAAATCTGAATTAAATTTTAGCCCTAGCATTTATATTTAGTGTTTTTTTGTGGCTGGCAACTAAAATGTCTCTGGAGACCAATGACCTACCGGTAATTTGTTTTGAGAATACAAAGAGTGTAACTAAACAGTTGGAAATTGTCTTCAAATGTTCTGAAAATTTGATTGGGGCAGCCATAACTTTGAATCATACTTTGTAAACTGAGTGCTTAGCTGTGAAATGCAAGGCCTTACTCCTCTTTTTTCTGTCTTATAGTGATTTACCGGTAATTGAAAATTTAGTAGTTACTCCAAAAGACATTTTTAATTCTGATTTTCTCTGGTTTCATCAACACTATACCAGTACCTGTTTATAAACCTTATATTATGGTTTTGCATGTGCTGTTAGCAGGACATCACTATTAAAGATGCTGGTGACATCCACATTAAAAACTTTTTACACATCTGAGGAAAAAGTAATGTTTTAATGGTTAGAATACTTGCTCTTTGAAATCTCAAACTGTGGTTTATAGTTTAATTTTAATGGACACTTTGTATGGTAGAGATAGAAATATGGAGCATACTTGATGATGATGATGATGATGATGAATTGTGTATTGAAAAAATCAGCCTTTACAGTCAAAAATCATGAATAATAGAGAGAATTTGTTATTTTCAACGTGATATAAAAAGAGATAAAAAGGAAAAATCAAATGTAATGGAATATGATCACACAAGTTTGAAAAGACATCTGTTCATAAACAAGTTTTTATATATTTCATTTCTTATCTGGGGGAGTTGGAATTCATTCCCTGTTGTCCTTAGTATTCTTGTTCATTTTGGCAGCAAGAGATCTTGAGATGGATGGTTTTTCATGGTGGTGATTTTGTTAAACAGAAATTGATCTTTGTCTTCACTTAAGGTCCATATCTTGAAGTCAGCTTGGGTGGTACATTGTATATATAACACCAAGCATCTTTAGCTAGCTCTTACATTCAATGCCAGATACCGGGTGTGGTTTAGGCTTGGTAGTCTTGCTGTATATCAGCATTTCCCACTGCCACACTTTGATCACCTTTCAGATATGTGACCTGCTTATAGGCAAATGTGTTTACAAATAGTTTATATTGATATCATTTTTAATTGGTTTCTGATTTCGTTTGCATGTTCACTTCAGGAAAACTCTGAACACAGATCCAGTTTGTTATGATGGCAGGACCTAGTAATGACAAGTGCAGCAGGTCAGTGGTTTGCAATGATGACCCTCCACCTCTGAGTATTACACTGAAGGAGCTTGGAGATTTGCCAAAGAAGGTGAAACATTGGGACACGGACTATTCTCCAGTTGACATTCTGCTCTTGACTGTGGAGGATTGCGAGTTCTTGGCTTGTCATCATTACTTGCGAGATTCCTTTAGAAGCTATGAGAAATCTATTGGATATGTGTACTTTGGAAAGATGGGTGATGATGAAGATGAGTCACTGAAAGTTGCTTTAGTGAAGTGTTCTAAAGAATCCTTGGATCCTGGAGGTTCTCAAACTTCTGCTAAGAATGCCATCACACTCCTGAGACCTAAGGCTACCTTTTTGGTTGGTTTCTGCTACAGTTTGAATCCTGACAAAGCCCAGCTAGGAGATGTGGTGATATCCTCACAGCTTACAATAGATCATCACAAAACCCCAGTGAGTAGGGATGTTGGTAACCTTGTCAAAAGTGCAGCTGATGGATGGAAGGCACCATTAGAAAACCCAGGAGCGCAAAAGGTCAAAGTACATTGGGATGGAGAGATTTTGAGTTGCTCTGATCTGATTGGTGCTGAACAGCAGTGTCAATTACACCCTGGGGCAATTGCAGTTGAAATGGAAGGAAAAGGTGAGAATTACTCTCAGGGTTACTTTCGCTTGACACCTGTGGTCATTGTGCAGGAAATGGTCTTGCCATAACAAGGATTACATGTATTCATTGTGTTCAGTGTGTTACGGTGGAGGGGAGGTACTTAACAACTTTTTGTAGGGGAGTGGTCTGCACAGGTGCATAATGGTAATCTTTATTGCACTGTACCCTCCAACTTGTCATATTTTCAAGCCTCAGCTCTCAAAGCTTCTGATTGCTACACTATTAACCAGGTTCTTGTTGGAGTTGAGGTACTCCATACTTTGTGTTCGGCAAAACTCTTTCCTGAATTCCAAATCCTTATTCTTTGCTACACTGCTTCTGACTAGAAAGAGTGGTGCTAATTTATATACCAGTAGAAAAACACAACATCTCTTAAAGTATTCCAATAACAAAGAACTAACAAAACGAATGATCTGCAGAAAAACAGATCTGCCTCTTTTGCTCCAATTAATCGTAATATCACTGTTTAAATCCATTCCAATAGTTATTGCTAATTTTTTCATTTTTCTACCTCAGGTCTTTTTGCAGCAGCTCATGACATGAAGATGGAGTGGCTTGTTGTTAAAGGTGTTTGTGGTTTTGTACCTGGCAGTGCAACTAAAAACAATTCATGGAAGACTTTTGCTTGTGTTATGGCAGCTTCTGTTGTATCCAACATGTTGAGTAGCTCTTTTGTGTTTGGAGACTGGCCTCATTATGGAGGTACGTGTTAATTTTTGTAACTTTTTGTTGTGGTTGTGTCTTCCAAGAGATCTTGTAACTCGTATCAAGAATTTTTGTAATTTTTTGTTGTGGTTGTGTCTTCCAAGAGATCTTGTAACTCGTATCAAGAAAAGTGGCTCAACGTTGTTAACAATAGGCTTTCTCATACAAGAGAAAAATGATCCTAAACCTAGCTAAAGCTGAGATATTTCTCTGTTTGATTAGTGTCACCTCGATATCATGTTCTCACATTTCAATGGTGATATAGGTAACAGGTAAAAGAACCTTGCTATAGTAGAATTAAATTTGACTGTTACAATTTGACAGATAGTGAATTGAAAATTAAGGTTGAGGTGGATGACTTAAAACCTGAAGAGCAGAATAAGCAGACTGGCATGCTGGCAACAGAGCATGGGGAAAAAGTGATAAAAATATTTTATTAAGTTATTATGGGAAGTTGTTGTTCGAACAGTTATAACATTAACGTGATAAATGTTCAAAGAATTATCTCAGTGCAATAATGTGGTATGAATAAATTAATATAATTGTACACAGTTCCACTTATGGGAACAAAACATTTGAAGAGAGGCTGTGAATGCTAATCTCTCTCTGCATTTTTTACCTTTAGATACTACACCCCACACTGTAGTACCCACCACTGGTCATGGAAGAGAACTAGAAGAATCAAGGGGAAGGACAGGTGAACAGGATGCTCAGTTTGAACTTATTTTTCTAGTTAATTGTATTGAAACATGGTTCCTCATGTTGGTTGAGTTTTTTCTTTTTGTTATTGGGAAATAAAAAAACCACTTTTAAGTCCATTTAGTTGATTTTAACTGGTATCAAACCATGATGAAATGAATGAAAAGGTGAGGGGTTTACCACTTTCAGTTGTTTTTGTTGACTCATTGAAGCCTAGCATGGGCTCCAGTTTGGTTTCAGTTCCCCCTCACATGCTCCAATAAAAAGGAAACCAACATGGCAAATCACTGACTTGTTGTTTTGATGTATTGATGTTGAAGAAGAGAAAGAATTCATAGGTGCATAAATTGGCCCAAAGAGCTGTAGGACTGAAGCTGTTAGGAAAAGAAAGGAGAAATGAAAAAAGAACCTGAATGTAGTTTTAGTCATCTTTTGAAATAGAAATTAATGTTATTAATACCAAGAATGCTTCTGTCAGCAATTATGAAAAATAATACTAGTCAATGCAAATTATTTCAAAGGTGTTTTTGCCTCATTCTCTTCTCTAGTTTAAGGAAGTGCTGAGTTTCCATGTGAAAATGAACATATAAATAAATACTTACTTGTAGACTGAAAATTTTTTTAGCTGTTCTCCACTTTTTTTTTCGGTTTTTAAGCTTCTTGGTTTAAAAAAGGCAATCTATAGTGCTCGTGTACCTATCGTTAAATACAAGCTGGTATGCTTGTTTCTAACTATTTAAATAAAGAAAAGTCATCGAATGCTAATCTCTCTCTATATATCTTTAATTTTAGACACAGTTCCTCTCCTTGTATCTCCCAAGTCTGATCCTGAAGGAGAACTAGAACTAGGAGAGCTACGTATGGAACTTCCAAGAATGAAAGGTGAATAAAAGATACTGTTAAAGGCTAAAATATTTTAAAAATAAAACCTATATGTTTTCGACAGTAGGTCATCATCACCCTGATGATGACCTACCGTCGAAAATGTTTGGTTTTTACTTATTTTGGCCATGCAAATTTTCCTCCAATTACAATATTTGTTGTTATTTCTACTCCAAATTAATTGCAAGTGTTGTTAAAAGAGAATAAATATTTCATTTTTGCATGCTCAAATCCATCTGAAGTTATAGAGGTGAGAGCGCAAAACCGAAATAGATTCACTGTGGAATAAACTGCCAATTGGTTTTCCTTATCAGTTCATGAAAAGATGATTATCGCGCACAGATAGCTTGCCGATTAAAGAAAGAAACTTAGGCTCTACTGGTATGAATCTTGTTATGAAAATCCATCTTACCGGAGGGTTGGACACAGAGGCCTGACGTTCCCTGTTACAAACTAATAAGTTATTTTTTCATGTTCAATTCCATCCTTGGATATAAAAGTGAGACGTACAAAACCGAAATTCATTCTCTTGAGTTGGAACACTTGGTGGTTTAAATGAGCCACTGCAATAAGGATAACTTTAATTGTTTTTAAACTTACGAACCTTTGGCTCAATGCGCTCATCGAGGGTCAAGTATACCCTTGGGTGCGCCGATGGAGATTGATCTAACTGGTGCATATTTACACTACCCACTCCCCCTATGCAGAAAAAATTGTCACTCCCATTATTTTCTCGATGAGTTACGAGCTTTTCCGCCTCCCTTCGGCCAAAGTTCCTCAGGACTACCAATTACAGAAGGGCTTTTATTTGATGCTTAACGGAAAAGTTGAGCCAGAAAAATAGACCATTTCTTGATACGCTTGCTTGTTGTCCTTTGTAGAGAGTATCGTTATCTGCTGATGAGAACATGGAGAGCAACAGCGGAGTTAAATAAATATCAGAAAACTGAAAAACATAAGCATTCATTGTCTTTCAATCGCATTGCTGTGAAAAAGAACTTTCAAAAAGTCTGAGATATGAGCAAATTCACTTTGGTAGCTTTAATTCCAATTTTGTAGTCATGGGTAAGGTTCTAAAATTCCAGATTAGAGAGAGTTTATCCCCCTGCCCTCCTAACTATTGTTTTCGTGTCCAGACCCTTGTGCGTAGTAAGATGAACCCAAATTTTCTTTGTTTACCTTTCTACGAAATACCCAACTGCTACTGAGCGGGTTAAAACTTTGTTGAGATCTAAATCTTAGCTTTTATTCCGTTCTAATGAATTTCAATTCTTGAAGTCCATCAATTTTCTCTTCTCTCTTTTAGAGACGAGATTTTCATCTTCCATCAGCACTTATTTCGACTCCTGTTTGTTACCCATTTCACAAGTTTAGTAAAGTGTGTTTTAATTCTCATTTAAGTTTGACTTTCCTTTCCCTTTTGCAGACATTTCAACAGAAGAGAGTTGTAAAAGTGATGATCCTTCAGAAAATAAACGTAGAAGGCTAGCAGGTATTATAATTATCAAGTGAAGAAATTTCATATTAAGCTTTCGTTTTAACAACTTATACTATACTTAAAGTGGTGGAGTGTCCGAGCGCGGAATCTGGAGGTGTTAGGTTCTATTCCTGGTGAGGACTCAAAATTGTTCCTTTGTCTCACGCTTGTGACAGGACAGTCAAACTTCTTTTCTTTCCTTTTCTTCTGCCAATTTGTCATTCTTGTTCAAGAAACAGTACTCCGCAAAATTTTATGAAAGTAAAATTCATGAAGTTTTTGTTGTTACTTTGGCCGCTTCGTTTCCCAACATTATTGATCCATGATGACATAAATGCTGGAAATTTAATCTTCCCTGAAATTTAAGAAGAGCTACCGAGAAAGGTAAAACTTAAGGAACAGAGTGTGGATTTGTTTTTTGCAGGGGGGAGGGAGAGAGCGCGGTGGCAAGGGTGAATTACCTTACTCCTTTCATGCCAAGGAAACTGAACTTGAGTTTGTGTAGTTTTACAAATTTGGCATCGTGTGCATATTCGTTCTTTCAATAAAAGTTAACTCCTGATTTTTTCTTAAATATTTCTTAGAACCGTTGAATGTTTGGTAGCATTTTCCCTCTGGGAAGAAGACCACCGACCCCCCCCCCCCCCAATAATACACCTACAAACTCCTGCCTTAACCCCCCTTCCCTCCCCCCCTGCCCAACCCTCATTTTATAAACCACACCCAACCCACATTTCCTAATCGGTCCAACGAAGGTCTAACGCTCGAAACATCAGCTTTAGAATCACTCTACAGAGGTCAATTCACATTATCAACTCAGTTAATGAAACCAAATTATCATTGCTAACTGAACATTTGATTCACATTTCTTAGTACTAGTAAAAGTAATCCTATAATAAACTCCTGTTAGAAATGGATGCTAACCCTTATGAACTTGCAAGTTATGTTGGAGCAAATTTGTTGTTTTATACATGAAACCTTGTTTGTTAAAGTGCCATGAGTTGTCTCTGTAGCACATGATCCCTTCGTTGAGTGCGCTGTTATTAACGGAAATTGTTGAGAAAATGATGAACGTTGTATATTTCAAAATTATTGAATGAACCTGGTCAATACTTTATGTTTCGTTGGCGCAAATTCGAGTTGGGAAGAAGTTTAGTTTTCGTGCACATTAATGGAAGATCCAAAGAGTAATGTTCCCTTTGATGTAGGGAAGAGAACATTTATCAAGCTGTTCGCTTTTGCTTTCATTTCGGCCATCTATGCAACATCCCTACTGGAATTTCGACCTGCATTAATATCCTTTTGGTATAGCCAACTTGCGCACCGCTTATGACTTGTAATATATCACTAATCTTGCAATTATATACAAGCACAACTACATACAATTGCAGTGCCTAAATTCTCAGACACCATGCTTTTTGGCCACTGTACCTTTTCTGCACGTTGTTGACAGTGCCTCGAAACGGGTAAAGTGTCCCTTCATTTGTGGGTAACCAAACCAAAGCGAAGGAAGATCATTGTGGGCGTGCATTTTCGTGTAACATCATGCACAGTAGGGATGCATAATGCAATGGCGCGAATTGGTCTCGGAACAAATTCATTTAGAGACGTTTCATTAGGAAAGGAAATAGCTCCATTGCTACAGTGAATCTGTTACTAAACATTCGCGTCGGTCAAAGGTGAAACGTCGTGATGAAGAGTAGTTTCCGAGTGACGCCTCAACTCCAAAGAAAAGAGATAAAATGAGGACATCGATGAGCATGCCCGTTAGCCCCCACCCCCAACTCCATCTTCCTTCCCCCTGCCTTTGTAAAATAAAAATGCGTGGATCCAGCAAAATGGCATGACTAGCTGCGATACTTACTACTCGCTATCCCCTCATCTTGATGCTTTGCTGTGATGTCTTTATGTTTTTAGTTAAGCGAGGAGTTCCCAGCGACGAAGAGTTAGAGTGGCTTTCGCAGAAACTCGAAAATTGGAAGGTAGTCGGGCGTCGTCTAAAAATTGACACGCCAACATTAACGGCGTTTGATATGGAAAATAGCGGATGGTTTGAAAAAAGTTACAGAATGTTACTACATTGGAAAGAGAGGAATGTCTCAACTGCAACATACACGATCCTACATGATGCACTGTGTCATCCATTGGTTAAACGCACAGATTTAGCTGAGCAACTTATGACTGGTAATATACCACTTATCTTGAAATTCAATAAATATACAATTACATACAAGAATAGTGCCTAAATTCTCAGACACTATGCTTTTTGACTACTGTATCTTCTGTGTTCGTTGTTGACAGTATCTCACAACAGGAAAGTGTCGCTTCATTTGTGGGTAACCAAATCAAAGTGAAGGACGATCATTTGATGCGTTTGTATATTTTCATGTAGTTTTCTGGTAGTGTAAAATTCACGCACTACTTAACTGCCGACTGTAAGCGTAGGGTTGCCGCTATTTCCTCCAGCTTCTAGGCTTTGGAATCCATTGAATTTAAGAAACGAACTGGTGAGTTTTTTTCATCAGAGACAAATTTTTCGATGAATAGTTAAGTCAATATCAGTTTGCTGGAAAGCAACTAGCTCACCTACTAGAATGCAGAGATACAGGAAATACCGTTGCAAACTTCCTTTTTTAACAACTCTGTCTTTCTACACTGGCTATTTATTTTACATAAAGGATAGTTTTTTCCAAGTATTTTTCTCGAATTTTAAAAAGACATGTAAATGATAGGTCACCAAACTCCAAAAAAAAAAAATTCGGTGTAACCAGGCCTTCTTATCACGTATAAAACGATATCTCAGTGTAACATGTAGGTATGCGTAATGAAATGGCCCTAAACGATGGGAAAACCTTAAAACTTTTAAGAGGAAAAGGAAAATCGTTAAGGCTATGTACATATGCTTATCTATTGAACGAGAAAATCTGTTCCAATTTTTTTTAACATTTGTTAAGAATGCGATACAACTGTGAACGTGCTACAAGTGCTCTTACAAGTTTTCATTTTAGTGAATGTCTATGTTTTTCCCCTAAGTTGCTTATTGTATGGAACATATTTTTTTCAAGCTTCTCGCTCGATTGCAAACAAGAGATATGAATGGTAGGTCGCCAAGTCCGTTTACGTGGCGATCATAATTTTTCTTCCTGGGAGAAAAAAAAAAGAACAAGAAAATCTTCTGCTCGCGTATGTGGGCGTGCATTTTTCGTCCAAAATGATGCACAGTAGGGATGCATAATGCAATGGCACGAACTGGCCTTGAAACAAATTCATCAGGAGACGCTTGTTGTCTTTGGTATAGAATATCGTTATTTGCTGATGAGAACATAAAGACCAACAGTGGAAATAAATGTATATCAGAAAAATGAAAAACATACGCATTCTTTGTTTTTCAATCGCATTGCTGTGAAAAAGACCTATCAAAAAGTCTGAGATAGGAACAAATTCACTTTGGTAGCTTTAATTCCAATTTTGAAGTCATGGATAACGTTCTCAAATTCCAGATTAGAGAGGGTTAATAAGAAATTACTCACTTCTGCATCTTTATTGTATTTAATAAGTCTTAAATCTATTTTCTTTGTCCTAGATTGTAGGTATTACAAATCGCTGATTAAGCACGTTTATCAACTACCCCCTCCCCCTGCTCTCCTAATTATTGTTTTCGTGTCCAGACTCTTGTGCGCAGTAAGATGAACCCAAATTTTCTTTGTTTACCTTTCTACGAAATACCTCACTATTACTGACCGGTTTAAAACTTTGTTGAGATCTAAATCTTAGCTTTTGTCCGTTCCAATGAATTTCAATTCTTGATGTCCATCAATTTTCTCTTCTCTCTTTTAAACTGTGATCAGGCTCACATGAGATTTTCATCTCCAATCAGCACTTATTTCGACTCCTGCTTGTTACCCATTTCACAAATGTAGTAAAGTGTGTTTTAATGCTCATTACATTTTGACTTTCTTTTCCCTTTTGCAGACATTTCAACAGAAGAGGAGAGTTGTAAAAGTGATGATCCTTCAGAAAATAAACGTAGAAGGCTTGCAGGTATTGTAATTATCAAGCAAAGAAATTTCATATTAAGCTTACGTTTTAATAACTTATATTATACTTATAGTAATGGAGTGTCTGAGCGCGGACTCCAAAGGTCGGAGGTTCTATTCTTGGGGAGGACTTGATTTTTTTTGTCCAACGCTCGTGGCAAGACGATAAAAGATATTTCCTTATTCTTTTATCATAACAATTTATTATTCTTGTCCTGGTTTACTTCAGCTGCTTCAATGCCGAAAATTAGTGATGGATCATAAAATGAATATAAGATATTGTTTTGGAGCTTCTCCCCTCGCACTTAATTCGGACTTTGCACTCGCCCCAACCTTTCCTCCATTTGACTGAAAAGCGCCAAAAACTTGCGTCTGTTCTGCAGGCAAGAGTTCGTGTGGTTTTGGAAACTTGGCGTTGTATGCTTACTCATCCCAGCAATAAAAGTTCATGTTTGTTTTCTCTATTTTTCAGAACCGTTGAATGTTGAGAAGTGCCAAGAGAAGCTAAAATCTTATTATGACACCTTTAGTAAGGTGAAAATCGTTCCATGGGACGAAAGCTCTTCCATTGAGATTGATGAGATCTACACACCTTTGAATTGGGTGAGAGATCACAGGAAGCCCAGCGGAGTGACACAAGAGGAACTTGAAGACTATACCGACATGTTCAAGGGAAAACATACACGAATGCTTGTTTATGGTCGGCCAGGAATTGGAAAGAGTACTTTTTGTAAGAAGGCTGCATATGATTGGTCGAAAACCTTAAAAGAAATCCTAAAGAACTTTGGCATTTTGCTTCTGATTAAGTTGAGAGATGTGTGTGACGTGGGAAACATCCGTGATGTTTTACGTGCGTCTAAATTGCTGGCCAGTGATGGTCCGATCTCAGTTGATAGTCTCTATGATTACATAATTAACAATCAAGATGAAGTGCTCCTTATTTTGGATGGCTACGATGAGTACAGCTTTGCAGAAGAACACTCACCCATCCTTGCAATTTGGAAGGGTGAGCAACTAAGAGATTGTCACGTCATTGTCACCACGCGTGAACTTGCATGTGACAAGTTAAGAGGCCCGAGTCACGTTCAGTTAGAAATTCAAGGATTCAAAAGCTTGGAACGAATAGAAACCTTTGCGAGAAAATTTTTGGCAGATGAACAAGATCCTAACGAGTTTATGCACTACCTAAGTGAAAAAGATCTCGTTGACATGGCAGAAATACCTCTCCTCCTACTGATGTTGTGTATTTTGTGGAAAGAGAAACATCACGTGGGACTGCCAAAATCACGGGCCGATATATTCACACAATTCATTCAAACTATGCTGGATCACAAAGATGGAAGTCACCAGCCTATGCCATTTCAGAAAGTGACCTCAACAGAAGCTAAAGAAGACTTTAGTAATCTTGGAAAGGCTGCCTTTGAAGCACTTCTACAAGACCGTCTTTACGTACGCTGCAGCGAACTCCCCCGCAATATTTCAAGAAGTTTTGAAAAATTAAGAGAAGTTGGGCTTTTCCAGATTGTCAATCTTACGAGTCTCAATCCTGAGAAAGGGGCCTATTTCATTCATAAATCCGTCCAGGAGTTCCTTGCAGCCTGGCACATTAAGGAGGAGGTGTTATCGATGAAAGGAGAAAGTGCGCCTAGCCTTTCCAAAGTTGAATCATTTGAAAAGATCGTGAAGATGAATGAAGTTCTGAAATTTGCCTGTGAGCTGTCAACAGAAGCCGCTTACGCAGTTTTCCGTCATGTAGCGTCTGTTGGAAGAGAGGAATCATTCCGAACCGAACCGTTGTCTCAACATCAAGAACTTTGTCGTGGGCTTATCTCGCACAGCTACTTTTGTTGTTCGGCCGAGAAGAGGCGAGATCTCTGCTCAGTGTTTCCCTCTTATACCGGAGGTGTTTTGTTTCTTGATTCTAACAAGCTGAACATCACTGCAAAAGAACATTTGCTGAAATCTGGCATGACACCCAACGTTATCTTTTTTCCTCCCCTCGAAAAGTCTTCAGAGAAAAGCTATCAAAACTTGATCACTGTAGCAGAGGACACAGATGCTGTATTTTTTAGCCGTTCGGGCGAAAAGAAAGCCGCAGATTTGTTGAAGAAATTCCCGCGTCGTCCTGTGAGCGAGTTCTTTTTGAGGAGAGAGAGAAAAATCATCGTTTATGTTTGTTGTTTATGGAAAGAAGTTTATGGCACTTTTCCGACTGAAATGCTGCGAGAGCTCATTTCGCTAACAGAAGAGTCTACTCGAGTGAAGCGTGTTGGTGATCCGTTGAATGAACAAGACAACGAAACAACTCCGTGTTTGACTCAGAACACTTTTAGCATCACTGATCTGACTCCTCAGAGTCTTTCCCGTCTGATTAAAATTCTTATTTACCACATTGAAAGGCAAGAGATGAAGATGCTAACTGATTTCCTACCTCTTTTCACTGCTCTGCAATGTATAGTTATTACTGGCAAACCCTTTGAAATCATTGATGCTCAGTTGACAGAGACCCTGGTGTCTCGTATCATCTTCAATGACGGACTTGACACATTAAGCCTTCATAATATCAATTTAACAGCCAAACCTGCCGCAGCTATCGCTAGATCTCTGCACCAGGCTCCTGGCCTGCGCGTACTCCATTTGTCAGAAAACCCTCTTGGTGAAGGAGTAAGTGTTCTCACTCAACATCTCAGCCGTGTTCCTCACCTGATAGGGCTGTACCTTAGTAATGTTAAAATGACAAAGCAACAAGTGAATGATTTGAGTGCAGCTGTACGTCAGAGTAACATCAACCTTTTGCAGACACTCTACCACGTAAGTTTTGTTATGTTAGTTTGCATATGTAGTCATTATTCATGCCTATTCTGTTCAATTTACTGTGGTGTTGTGCTAAGAATTTTTACGCCCTGGGTTCGTGGGGCAAGTGCGATATTTTCTTTGCTTTTATGAAACAAGATTGAAATTTACCTCATGAAAAGTCACCACTAGTCAGTTCAAATCAGTTTTATACATGTAGTAAGTGAATGCGTTACCACACTGTGCGCGTGAATGTGAGAACGGCCGCGTGTTTTCAGGTACTATTGACAGAAAGTTAATGTCAGTGTTTGGAAGAGATCAAGGAGCTACTTTCTACACTTGTCTTAAAATTTAGGAAATCTGCGAGTACTGGTTTTCAAGTTTTGTTTATTCGTTTAGCTATTTTTTTCCTTCTGAAAGTGGTCTTGATTTCCGTAAGAGAAACAGGAATTGAGGGAGAAAACAATTGCTTGTTTTGTAACACGAGCTGAGCATCTGTCTGTAAGAAATGATTTGAGACCTTAGTTTTTTCACTCTGCTTTATTTACAGCTCTTAGGAGTTGTTAAACAATGTCATGCTTTAAAGCTGAAGCTTCTTTCTGAAGGAGGAAAAGTTAAACTTCAAGGAAAATGTGGGATGTTTCTGGATGCTCCGGGAAAAAAATTTTGATACCCAAATATTCCCTTAGAAAGAGCTTCTGGAATAGTATTTGGGAGTTTTGTAGACAGATGGTTAGCATAAATCTGTAATTTTTATTTGATTGATTAACTTAGTTGTTTGCTATATCATTTAGGTTTTGAAAAAATGCAGTAAAGGCACAGCAGAATTTTTTCCCTTAAGCTTCCTTTTACACAGATTTTCCTTTTCTTCCTCTGGTCCTAACCAGAAGTTACCAGGAACATTGTTGATTAGAAAAGAAATGACCAAGGGCTTCCACTTGAAAAGTAGTAGAGAAAGAATGCTACCACTGTAAGAGAGATACTGTAAAAATTACTATCATAGCTCGCAGACATTAGGATGCGAGCTGCCCGATTTTGAAGCCTTTGCAGTTTTTCAGAAAGGCCCTTGTTACAGTTTCCCCACACTACATTACAATAATCAAAATGCGGTTGAACAAGGCTATTATAAACTTTAATTAGAACATTAAATGGAGTGAGGTGCCGAATTCGTTTAATTGCACCAATGGCACAAGCTATCTTCTTAGAGATGTTTTCAATATGACACTCCCAGTTGATATTTTGATCGACATAAACTCCAAGGGACTTAGCGGAGGTTACTTGTTCTATTGCGATTTCGTTTATAGTAAGAGAAGGACTTTCCGTAAATTGTGATAACTACTGCCTTGATGCAATAAGCATAAACTCAGTTTTTGTCATATTTAGGGTAAGCTTGTTAGCACTCAGCCATTCGTACACATTACTCAGGTCGTAATTAAGGCAATAATTTATATGATCAAAGTCAGTACTGGCAAGCGTCAGGCTGGTATCATCTGCGTACATTCTGGGTTCCGAATATGTCAGACAATGTGGTAAGTCATTAATATATATTAAAAACAGAAGGGGTCCCAAAATTGTTCCCTGGGGAACACCACATCTTAGATATTTCGGAGTTGACTTACAAGAATTTACATGGCAAATCTGTGTTCGATTATCTAAATAAGAAGCAAACCATTGATGACTGGTCCAACAAATCCCATAGTATTGCAATTTTCGTAGCAAAATATCGTGATCTACTGTATCAAATGCCTTTTTGAGGTCTAAAAACACTACGGTATTAACAAGACCACGGTCTATATCCATTGCCCAACTATCTGTAGCTTCGATAAGTGCTGTGAGCGTGGAATGCAAAGACCGAAAACCAGATTGATGGCACGAAAGAAAGTTGTTGTTAGTTAAATAACGATAAAGCTGATCGTAAATTATCCGTTCAAAGACTTTGGCCACAACTGGAATTATTGATATTGGTCGATAATTAGTCGGATCAGAGCGCTTCCCAGTATTTTTATACAATGGAGTGACTCTGGCAGATTTCCACTCATCGGGAAAGATGCCAGTCATTATGGATTGATTGAATAGATGAGTAAGAGATTCCGCTAGAACATCAGGACATTCCCTTAGAAGTTTTGCTGAGATATTATCTAATCCAGTTGCCTTTGACTTGCAAAGCTTTGATAGTAGTGCAAAGACATGTGTTGGTGTTGTTTTTTCAAAAACAAAATTTTTATCAGTTTCAATAAGAAATTCTTCGAAGGATTTATCAACTTCTGACACGTCTCTACTAAGGCCTGGCCCAATTTCTGTGAAAAAGGAGTTTAGCATTTCTGCTATATCCGTTTGATCTCCGGAATTTACCCCATTATATTCCATCTCATTAATAACAGTTTTAGTGGACTTTCGTGACTTTCCTTTGATCTCCACAACAATTGTTGAAGGCATTTTCATAATAAGCTTTTTTCGCACTATTAATTTCCCCGTTAACTTGATTTTTAACTATTCGAAATTGGTCCCAAATAACTGGATCCTTTGTCTTAATAGCCTTTCTTTTGAGGCGGTCTCTGAAATTCATCCGCTTTTTCAGAATAGCGGTTATCCATGGGGATTTAGAATCTCGTGTCCGTTTGGTCTTCGTCGGTGCGTGCTTTTCACATACATTCAGGAATAATTCTTTCCACCTCCTCCACATATCATTAGGATCATATAATTGCTTTATTTCATCCCAAGGTTGAGCTAGAATGTCCGCGTAAAAATTTGCGCTATTAAAATGTTTAAACTGTCTATATGTTATCAAGTTAACTCCTTTGGAGAAAGTCGGAATTGAAATTTTTCGATATGCATAAACTAAATTGTGGTCACTTATGGCGACATGAGACACCCCCGAACGATACACATTCTCTGGCCGATTTGTGTGGACTTTATGTGGACTTTCGTGAGGTCAGTTCATTGATTGACATAACCTTTAAAGAGGAGACATCAGCAGTTCCTTGTTCTCACATGAACTACTGAGCCTTTTCCTTAAAAGGTTACCTTTAGTTGTATTCTCTGCATAGGCTTGTCAGGTCAAGTACCTATAAGACTCTAGGAGAGGTGGTCACTTTGATGTTATGTATATTTTTTGAACACTTCAGCTTATTTCTCTAATAACCTAATCAGTATGGGCCCCACAATGGATGTAATTGGAATATATCTAAATTTTGGTGAGCCTTGGGATTTTTGCTTACAAGGAATGTTCCTTAATAGAAAAGTTGTTTTAAATTAACTCAGTCAAACATACTCATGGCATAATTTCTCTTTGTATAAAAAGTAACCAGGGTAAACAAGTTAGAGTACAGGTGTATGTTGTTTGAAAAGATAATGTTGATTGGTGGTGTGTAATTTATCACAGGATGACGAAGGGAATGTCAAACCTGAAGAAGAATGGCCAACAGATGAGTACTGGAGTGATTATTGGTGGGAATCAGAAGAAGAGTCAGATCCTGGGTCAGTTACTGACTCAGGTGATGAGGAGGAGCCTGGGTCAGTTACCACCTCAGGTGACTAGGAGGATCCTGGGTCAGTTACTGACTCAAGTGACAAGGAGGATCCTGGGTTAGTTACCGACTCAGGTGACGAGGAGGAGCCTGAGCATATAAGGAAAAGTATGGGGAAAGAAACATGGTCGATTTGCTATGATAAATATTTCGAAGTATGAACATTTCACAAGTAAAATCATTAGAACTTACTCACTGGCTGTTTCAGGCCTGCTCTGTTTGTGCAACAGCTCACGTGAAGTCTCATGCTGCAATCCATCAAGTAGAAGAGGATAACGGGATTTATGGGACGGCATTGAAAGTCACCCACCCCACCCCACCCCCCCCCCCTCCAACTCACCACGAGGCCTCTATTTCTCATATATCTCCTAGTGGTATCTCAAGATTTCCAATTTCCTGTCCTTCCCTCCTTCTCGGATTCTAACTTCCAAATGGTTTTCTGTTAGAAAAGCCTCGGTCAAATTCATCAATTTGCAAACTATAGTGGAAGGGGGACCGTGCGATATTTTTGTAATCTCCAAAATCCGCCATTTTTTATTTTTGAATTGTGACGTAATGAAAAAATGTTTTAAGAATCATGATTGAAATGTATTCCATGAAACGAGAAGGAGAAAAAACATACAGTGAAGGAAGTAAATTGTGTACTTGTACTGAAATGAAGAGAATGCTGTGATCTGGTCAACGGCACATGAACGGTGTATCAGACTGATTACAAATTGACAAAACATCCCGTATAGCCTGTCAAAAAAATAAAACTGAGGAACTGGCTGATATTTACTGTATGCCACGTTCTTGAAAGATTCCGAAATTTCAGCTCTTACGCAAAATTTCCTAGCAATGTCAAAACGAGAGGGTCCGTCAGTTTTTTTTTTATGACTGTTTATATCTATTACTTCCTGGTTGCGATGTTGCGTTATTGTTGAAGGAAAGCAACCGAGTAACACCCACGCTCCTATCATGTAACTCAAGCTCCTCAATTTTCTCTTTCCTCACTTTCTTAATTAATAGACATACAAGGAAAATCTGTTTCTATTACCACTTTATTTACAACTTTTTAGCCTTCAACCACAGCGAAATCAATACAGGTTGATAGTTTAATAGCTGGCCCCCTCGATTAATCGTCCTCCTTCCAATAAGCGCCTCTCCTTTTAGCCGAAATTCGAAATGAGCGCGGAAATAAGGTATTTAATCGGGTAGTAGAGGACGATCCTTCACCAGATGCTCTTATTGCCACATTTACCAATAAAAGCTCGTATACTAGGAAAACATTGTTTATTATTTCCTTACGGAGGTAGGCAACCCTCTCATTTTAACTGCATGCTATCGATGGACTGAGATGTTAACAGAATGACAAACCTAGTGAAATAGTTTCTTTCCTAACACTCGGTGGAAGATCAAATTTGAAAATGATAGAGTTGCACTTTAATTGAAACTAAAACTTGACAATCAGCCAAACAATTTGTCAACCAAAACCATGCATGAAAACGGATGGAAATGTGCGACGCTCCATCGAAATGTGTCAAAAAGGTTTTAGGAATGTTATCAAGAGGAAATGAGATTTTTATTAATTTGAAAATCGAAGGTGACTGACCATACGAAAGTCGTATTATGAATTTATAATAAATAATATTTAGGGCAAGGTTTTCTATACTTTTGCTTTTGAACTCTTAGCTTTGCAATGGCTATATTTAGTTTTTTTTCACTCGACTCACTATTATAGTTTCATAGAAGCTATTTAAGTAGGATTGGCAAAACTTTACATTTGCATTTTCCCTCGGACTTATCATTACGTATGAAAAACTTAGTCTGTAATCAAGTGCACTTTCAAGAAGCGGTAACTTTCAGGAAGTCATTTTTTACCCCGTCAAGTGTATCGCGTGCACGCAAACATTGACTCCTCGAAAATATCACAGTGAGTATTGGAAGGACATGATTTGATAAGCACATTCCAGAACACATACGCGGAAAAGCTCTAATTGCCGTGCTTGTTCAGACTTTTAATGGTAGTAAGACTTGCTTGGAATTTTAAAGATAAACCAGTGCATCGAAAAAGATGTAAATGTAATCTTGACTCGAATATCAAGGTGAGCGATGCTTTACATAGAACTCTCAATCTTTAATTTATGTTTATTAAAAATTAAAGTCTCATTTCTTGAAATAATTTAAGTCTTATCAGTCTTTTTAAGCACGTCGTTTTCTAATTCGAGGAGGGAATTTCCTCCGTGATATCTTGAAACAAATCACGTTCCTTTTCGGTAATTAGATAACGGCATAATATGTGATTATCGTAGTCGATAAACTGTGAGATTTTAAGCCTCTAACCCTATGTCTGAATGTACTTTATACATACTGAGAGGTCTTATGCCGTTAATTAACGGCGTAAAATTTTGCAGTAAATTTATTTACAACCTGAAAGGAATTAATCTCTTACAGTTAATATATTTGAAATATATTATTTTGTATATATTAATTCATTATTGTAAATATACCAACGCAGATGGTGGCGTATAATTGTTCAGTATGTAGGCTAAGATATTCACATATTATGTTACTATATACATTCCAGTTCCTTTTGTAGTCAGGTTGAAGCTTAATTTGCATTTACTTTTAACTAGACACCTTTACCCTTGGTGATATTTGCAATAAAACCTCTAACAACCCACTGAAATTTTGTAACAGAAGAAATTCTTCCAACCCGGCAACCTTGGTATCATTTCTTGTACATGAATTAAGGCAAGGTGAGAAAAACATTTAGGGGCCAAGTTTGGGTAAAGTATCAGAGTATCATCTGACATGCATGTCGGTCAAGAGGCAATGAGTTGCAATGTTTGTATCGTGGCGATCCCAGATATCTGTGCGCAAACGCAAGGATCCGATTACTTGCAACTTATTCATTGATGTCAGTCAACATGTGGACCGAGTGTTGCTTTACATATCGGCTGATACTCGGTTGTTATGTTGACTTTTAGTGTCAGTCGATACTCGTTCAACAGATGCCTTAAGTACACGATATCGGCTCCTTTTAACCACATATCCCGTACGAAAATTCGGAGCCTGACAGAGCCTGAAGACGGCCTTGTTCGGGACAGATTACCATTCATAGAGCCATACATCGACACGACATGAGCCGGACAAAAAAAATTGTCCTGGCTTTTAACTAATGAGCCAGAAAATGTTACACTTTTTTCAGGGCCATGATTGACCAGACAAGGCTAACAGGAGCAGGGTAAGAGCAGGACAAGAGCCAGACAACGCTGAATACCTTTACACATTTTAAGGCAACATATAATTCAACAATGCGCCTGTTTTCAGAGCCTAACAAGTGACTGCCGCGAGCCAGACAAGTACTGTTTTTAAAATGCTTATCTTGGCGATAATTATTACCGCTCGAAACTTGCTTTCACTCGGATAACATAGCGTAGTCATGCGCAATCTTTCCGTCGGTTTTCTTGACACAGACGAGTTCGTATGAGTTTTTCGGATTGGAAATATTAAAAATGTTCATTCTTGGAAATGGTTTAGTTGACGCCCATCGAACGACTATAAAAAATACATTTAACTCGGTGTTCAGGGGAAGCCTTGAGTGTTAAAAATTCGCGAGAAACTTCGATTCCTTTTCTAGTATTCAAAGTCTTTAAAGAATGTTAACGTGCCTTAACTTTCTCAGTCTGAAAAGAGAACATGTTGACTATTTCACTGTACTCAAAATGTCACGCTCCTTGGATGTGATTGGAGAATTTTGATATCTTTTGATTGTGGCTACAATTTTGATTTACTGAGTCACACATGAACCCTTTTCGGATATGAGCTTCAAACTCTGCATTTTACAGAGTGAAAAAGATGGCTTTCATCATTTGTAGTTTAATGTGCTCGGGTATGTGGTGTTCAACGATCCTGTTTAGAGTTACGCTGCGTGGGTCGATATCTCTTATTTCCTTAACCCATTATCTCCCGTGAGTGACCAAGAGAGAATTTCTCCTCACAATATCAATCATAGAAGTGATGAAAATAAAGGAAAATATCAATTAGAGGATTATTAGTTGATTTAATACCAAATTCTCTAAAAACATCATAAGATTTGTATGGCAGACGGTAGGGAGAATTGCTAATGAGATCTTTGGAGTTAAAGGGTTAATTGCAAACAGGTGAGGTCTTTATTCGATCTTTATGGTGAGGGTCCAGCATAAGTTTGACAGGATGCGGGATTAGGCTTACAATCGAGGTGGGATGTGGGATACGAGAAATTTCAAAAGCAGGATGCGGGATGAAAATAGGGAGGCAGGACCGGGATATGCTCCATTTTGAAGGCGGGATAAGGGATTGGACGGGTATAGGCGGGATAAGGGATTGGACGGGTATAGGCGGGATAAGGGATTGGACGGGTATAGGCGGGATAAGGGATTGGACGGGTATAGGCGGGATAAGGGATTGGACGGGTATAGGCGGGATAAGGGATTGGACGGGTATAGGTGGGATAAAGGATTGGACGGGTATAGGCGGGATGAGGGATTGGAAGGGTATAGGCGGGATGAGGGATTGGACGGGTATAGGCGGGATCATTATTTAGCTCCAGTTAAGAGTCACTCGATGTTGAATCTTTCACCCTTACAAATAGTGGAAAGGAAGTAGCTTCTGAGACAGATATCTCAGCCGTAAATTTGATTGTTAGGTGGTGTTTATTTGCTTGTTCAATGAACCGGTTGACGACGTATCTGTTGGTGAGCAAGAGAGAGTTTAAGTCTCCAAACGAGCGGTTTATTAGCGCATTTATCTAGGATTTGCACTTTGATTTTAGCCATGAAGATATTTGCAAAAGCTACTGCCGTTTCGGTGCCTATTGGGTTTCCGTGCGTTTGCAAGTAATTTTGTTCGTTGAATTGGGATGAGTTTTCCTGCAAAATCAGACTAAATAGAGGGGAGGGGTGTATCCGTGCATAAACTCGTAACGTCCATTTAAAAGAGTATCACTTCTTACGGAAGAATTTTTTTTTCTATGAAGTTGATGAAGTCTGTTGTATCTTTGAGATGACATGAGCTGTTGGTCCTTCCGTAGGTGGAGTTAATTGTCTCACTTGTAAAGACTGTAAACACACCGAGGAACAACCGTTTTTTTAGCCGTCCAGATATGCGTTAAGCAAGTCTTTCCCTTTCTCCATTATGAGAGAACATTATTGACAAACATCTCGTACAGCCTGTCAAAGAAATAAAAAAGAGGAACTGGCTGATATTAACGGCATGCCATATTCTTGAAAGATTCCGTAATTTCTGCTCTTGCTGTTACCATCGGAAAATTTTCTAGCAATGTCAAGACGAGAAGATCCGTGATTTATTTCTTAATGACTGTTTATAAATTATTTCCTGGTTGCTAGATCGATGTTGCGCTTTTGTTGAGGGAAACCAGGCACCGAATTTAATTGAATAAGCGCCCACGCTCCTATAAGCGCCCTCCCCCAACTATTGCCCGCCCCATGTAGTTATGTCAAACAAGTGCTTTTCACGAATAAGCGCCCATCC